GTTCAAAGCAGGAAACAAAACATGTTGTGAAAGACATTGTCTTGAACTTTAAAAAACAATTAATAAATTTCAGTAAATAAATATGCATAGAACAACATGTGGAACTACCATTCAGCAACATGTATGTTACCACTGATCCTTTCACAGCTACACTATTCCCAAGCAAATTGTTTCTCTCCATAAAGAAAGGCTCTATGAAAAACTGCACAAACCAGTTTCTTGAAGCATGTTACAACTGTGAAGTTTATTTCACAATTTGGTGATATCAAAATAATATTTATAAAGCCTCTACTCAACCACTTCAGACACTGTGCAATACTGTAACTACACTATGAAGCACAAAAAAACATGGTATTAAAGAAAAACTTTATCAAAATTCAATGGAGTCAAAAAATAAGACTAAAAATGGGGAAAATATGCAAGGAGTAAGATTAGAACCATGGGGCCAACAGTAGTCAACATAAATAACATCCCAGAAAAGAAAAAAAGTGAAGGAAGGTTGTTGTTGTTTTTTTAAAGTGGGGTGATATGAACTGAGACAACAGAGGAGTGAGTTACATTCATTATGGGCCGGTCACCTTACGCGTGGCAAAGACAGGTCACATAAGAGTGCAAACAGCCATCAAGCCAAGTCATGAAAGAGTGCGCAAATGTAAGCTAGGTCTACACCATTAAGGGATTTAAAAATCAACAACTTAAATTCAATCTGTCACTTTATAAACAGCTAATGCAGAGGAAACAGGGCAGGTGTAATAGGTCTGCAATTCCTCAATCCAGTGAGAAAACATGCTGCTCCATTCTGAACAATCTGCGAGCAATAGAGATGCTGAAAACCTGATAAGAAGGAATTAAGTCGTGCAGCGAAAAGGACATGAGTTGCTGTTGTGAGGTTGTCATGAGATAAACAATTGTGTGGTCTGCGCAAACCATGTGGAAAAACACCTTTATACCATCTCTGACACATGGGGGCTAATCTGTGGAAAGGGCACGGTCAAAAATGATACCAAGTTTCTTAACTTGACTCACTATTTTAAAGAGACAAGGTGGGTGAGGTAATATCTTTTACTGAACCAACTTCTGCTGGTGAAAGAGACAAGCTATGGAGCTACACAGAACTCTGAAGAAGAAGAAGAGCTCTACATAGCTCAAAAGCTTGTCTCTTTCACCAATAAAAGATCTTCTCTCACCCACTTTGTCGCTCTAATATCCTGGGACCAACAGTACAACTACACTGCTATTTTGAAAGCATTTTTAAAAATGCATTGGATGTATGCAAGACTCTTAGCTACAGTTAACAGATATGAGGACTGTGACACAGGGAGTAAATTCAGATATTGAACAGTTAATGTAGGGGGAATTATTTGGAGTGATACAGTTGAGATGGCAAAGATGCTTGGTACAGCTGTTATGGAAGCTGTAAATGTGACAGTAGGAAGTTGTTTTCTATATTTTGAAGCAAAAGAACAATTATTTATCTTATAAGAGCTATTCTACTACTATAATCTGATTTGGGAGGGAATCCTTGGGGCCTGGTTTAGTTAACATTTGCTTCTGACCCATGTAGTCATTACTATGGCAAGACATCTTCCTTTCAGTGTATATATGCTGCTTACATGGTAGGCTTTAAATACCACCAGTGCAGCCTGTTTGCACTGCTATACAGATGATAAAAGGGATCTCTCTCCAATCATCACTCTAGTTGAAGCCTTGACTAATGAATGGCAGCTTTTATGTGCAGACCTGCAGGTCCTAGAGATTTCAACTTTATGAAACTGAACCCCTATAAAAAGGAAGCCTTATTAATCTGCCTCCATGCAGACACACCTAGGTCAAGAACCCAGGAGTATCTACCTGCAAGCTCACACTAAGTCTACTGTGTTATATGATGAGCAAAGGCTTGATGACGGAGTACAGATCGGAGAGTGGGTTCTTCTAAATTCTGATCCTAGCTGTGCCACTGATTTGCTGCATAGTCTTGGGCAAGTCACTTAGGGCCAATGCTGCTCTAATTTACACCGGTATAAGACTGAAGTAACTCCCTTGAAGTCAATTAAGATAAACTCCAGATTAATGCCACTGTATTTTTACACTAGCATAAATGAGTAAAAATGATGCTCTTTAATTTCTATGAGCCTCATTTTCATCCTCTATAAAATGGGGATGATAATACCTGCCTCATAGCTGTGAGGATTAACTGATTAATGTTTATAGAGCCCTTTGAAGAAGGTAACTGCTAAGCACTATTCTTACTGTACTCCCTATCTTGCAACACTGAAGCTGTTTGCACTTTTGGGGCATGAAATGAGTGGATGTCTCTCAACTTGACTACAGCAAATGAGTTTTCTCAGTGGGGTGTAACTGACAGAATCAAAATAATACAGTAATAAACAAAACTGCTCAAACCTTCATTGGCTCAGTCATTTCCAGCATGTCAACCCTTTTCTCAATCACTGCACCAGTCCTTAGTGAAATCCAGGAATGGCCAAACTGGGTGGGGGAAAAAAAACAAGAAAGTCTCATCACAAATATTAAACCAAAGCCTTTTCTTAGGTTTGATAACTATGGGTAAGTATCACCCCTGCTTCTTCCCAAACCCTAGCAAGATGCCTACACTTCCTGATCTTGAAATTTCAGAGAATCTCACCACTTTCTGTGCTGTTGTCTTCAAATCTTGTGAATTTCAGGGCTTCCTGGCATGAGGGGTGCAATACATTCTGAAATGCAGGATGCCTTACAGTTCATTCAATGCTAAGACAACAGCACAACAATGCTCACCAGAAAGAATACAAGACTTTAATATTATTATTCGTAGCACCTAGAGATCACAACTAAGGAGAGGATAAACTAAAGCTTGCTGACTAGTCTGGGGCAAGGTTGGTTCAGATGATAAATGGTGGTTAAAATAAAGCATGATGTTCAGGCATATAGTGAGAGACAGTTCCTGCCCCAAACCATTTATAGTCTAAATATATAAGACGGAAGGAAACAAAGGCAGAGAAAAGTGAAGCAACTTGCCCAGGGCCACATAGCAAATCAGTGACATAGCTGGGTTTAGAACTCAGGTCTTCTGGGTCCTACCCAAGTGACCTAGCTGCTAGATCGGGGTGGCCAAACTTACTGACTTGCTGAGCTGCATATGATAATCTTCAGAAGTTTTGACAGCTGGGCGTGGCAGCTGAGGCTCGGGGCTTCAGGTGCCTCCCGCAGATCTGAAGGCCCAAGATCCCCCTCCCTGCAGGGCAGAAGCCTCTAGCCCCACCACCCTGCCACAGGACAGAATCCCTGAGCTCCCCCTACCCCACTCTGGTGGAGAATGGGATGCGGGGAGGAGGAGCGCCGTGAGCCATACTTTAACTGTAAAAGAGCCGCATGTGGCTCATGAGCCACGGTTTGTCCACCTCTGAACTGGATTATACTATCACCCATTTGGAGCATCACCAAAGGTAGGGATTATAGAGAGGGGCTTGGCAGAGTTGGGGTAGATCCATACTAGGAAAAAAGATATTTTTTTACCACATTAGCTAGGAGACAGCCTAATGTTTACCTCAATGTGCTAACCTATGTTAAAACTGTACCTGCCTTGTCCATGCTAATATTCTACCATGTTTTAGTTAGCTAACATGGTAAAAAAAAAAAACCATCTGTTTTCCTAGTAAAAACAAGGCCTTGGAGAGGGAACTGTGGCTGTTAGGAAGGAGGTAATAGAGTTCTGGGGAAGGATAGGGTTTTTGAAGGGAATGAGCAGAATATAACTGACTTTGAAGCAGGGAGGGAGAAGGGAACCTTAAAATGTTTAAGGTTAAGAGAGAACAAGCATCTAAACTGTTTGACTGTCTAAACAGAAATTTTTAACTTTTTTTCAGATCTCCCATAGACTCATAAATAGTGCACTGATTTAAGTTTTCTGTGCACACTATGCTTTTAAGTAATAAATGTTCAAACTATTTATTTGGTCTTTCTATGTTCACAACTATTCACTTCAGTCCACCACAGCCTATTTTCTATGGGCAAGGTTCTTATTTCAGTTGCACCTGAAATATGTAAAATGTGGAGTAGTTCAGTGATACCACTGGAGTTTTACACGGATATAAATCTAGATCTGGAGTAACTCCCTTGATTTTGCTAAAGTTTACACAAGTGTAATCTGGAGTAACTCCACTGACTTCACTGCTGTTCCTCCAGATTTTACAGCAGTTCAACTGCTATAACAATTTGTCCTTACTACAGAGTGCCCACAATGTTCAACACAAATTTTTGATTTCAGATCTTTAGTAACTTTGTTCCACAGTTGCTGAACCTTGCACTTCCCCTGCACTGGGGCTACCATAATGTAGTTTTTAGTATTTAAAATGCAAATATTTTCTCTTTAGTATTTTACTTTCTGATTCTGAAGGGAGTATGAGCTATTCTGTTCCATAATCAGCTGTGATTGTTAACGAGGCAACAAACTGGACCTGGAAGTTGTTGAGAAAGAACAATACAAAAAACTCGTGTCATTTTCACGGGGTCACTTATCAGAACATAACCCCTGGCTGGCCATAAGCACAAGCACAGTACAGAAGCTACTTGGAGTCCCATTCTTTGTGGGAGTCTTGCACCCCACACAAACCCTGCAATTCAGGCCACAAAACTCTTCCTAGCAGTGGGAAAGGAAGAGGAAGCAATGCCACATTCACCACCACCACCACCCTTCAGTAAAGCAGGCGGCAACCCAGATACCCCAGCAATGAAAGCGGCTAGCACCAGGTGAATCCCCAACGAAGCCGTCAGGGCAGCTTTCAGGTGTATCAGCACAAAGCACCTGGGAAAGGAATGGAGGATCTGGCTTTTAGCACACGGCACCTAGAGACCACGGTGCTGGGTGCGTGCAAAGCAAATACAGGGAAGAGAAAGAAGGAATTAGCCCGAGGAAAGGCTGTTCTGGTACGGGGGCTACCCCTCTCCGCTCCTCGCCCGTGCTGGGAGCCCCAAGACCGGCGAGTCGAGTCTCCCCACGCCGGCGCTAGCGAGAGGCTGCGTACGTGCCTCACGTGGCTCCGCCCGCCCAGATATAAAGGGTGGCTCCGGCAGCGGCTCGCGAATAGCCGGCGGCCGCAGCATCTGTCCCGGGCGGAGGGGCAGCAGTACGGGTACCGGCACCGGCACCATGGCTGGTAAGTGCGCCCTGTCCTGCCCGAGCCGGGCCCGCCCGCCCGCGGGGGCTGAGCGGCGCAGCCCCTTGCCCGGCTGGGCGATGGAGCTGCGGGAGGGTTACCGGGGGCGGCTCCTGCGGCCGGGGCTGCGCCGAGCCCCCTGCCCGGGCTGGCGCTACCCCCGGCTCGGGCCGGCTCGCGGGAAGGCTGTCCCTCCCCCAGAGCGGGAGCTGCCGCCGGAGGCTCGCGGAGCAGGAAGGAAGCGGAGCTCGGCCTAGCGGGGAACCCGGCGCTCGCTCGCTTATGGCGGCTCCTATTTTTAGGCTAGCTGTACTGCCTGCCTGCCCCCGTGCTCCCCCGGCCAATGGGCGCCTCTCCTCCCCGGCTGGGCAAGCCGCGCGCCCCCGCGGAATGCCCCCACTTCTGTCTCCCCCGCCCGGCTCCTGCGGGAGAGGCCCCTGCAGCACCACTGCCCCGTCACCCAGGGCCACCCCCGGGAGGAGGTCTAGGAGCTGGGGCGAGCGTTACCCCCGTGTGCACACAACTAGGTTCAGCTTCTCAGCCACGTAACTTGCAGAACAGATGGGCCTGGCCCCAACTGTCCCCTGAACTTCGGGGAAAGGTCAGGGCTGGACCTGACGCCTATGCCTTGAAGTGGAATCCAGGGGGTGCATCTCCAGGAAGTGAAAGTCCTGTTCGGCTTCTTGATCGGGGCTTGTCAAATAGCTCAAGCTTAAATTAAAAACTAGACAACTCGAAATCTAGTTGCCCTAAAACGACTTAAGGTTACCTTCTAGTGCTATGCCTATCCCTGGGGTCCTTGGCAAATGCCTCAGTGTTGTGCTCTTAAAGACAGCCCCCCCCCCCCCAGCTCTAACACCCCTATACATGGTGGAAACTGACAAGACCACCTACTCTCAACTGCATGAAATTTAACAACTCTGATTCTTCAGCTATAATAATATTAGCTCTCATAATAGCAGGTATCTCTCAGAGAAGTGTAGCTAACAAAAAATGGAGATACTTTTAAATGGGTCTGAAGATGTTCGTTTGACTCTGCCTTTCAAATGCTGAAGGGATGCTGTCTGCTCAAAACCTCTATTAATCTTTCCTAATAACACTTGTCATCACAAGAATTTTCTTAAAACTTGCCACGAGTAGATGATCTTCTGTCATGTCTGATGGCCCAGGCCAAGAAAAGTGGAATGAGGAAGTCAGTTTTGCTTTCAGATTATTAGTACTGCTATGTCTGGGTTTAACACACTGCTTGGTAATTATTTAAACAACTTTCCTTGCATTTTTTTCCAAAAGCTCATACAGATGCCCCATTGATCTTACATAGATTCTAATGAAACTTGTATTTACAGAATTTAAACTTGCTACTGTCTGAAACTCAGAGAGGTGGAGTCTGAACTCCCCTCCTCCCCCCACCCCCCCAAAAAAAACCCTAACTAACTAGAATGGAAACACAGGGCAAGCATAGACTTGTAAATATAGTGACCTCAGGCATATGTGAAGGAGGACTGGTCCACAGAAGGTGTTGGACCACTCACAATTGCTTAGCAGCAGCTCAGTCCTACATAGCTCTACGCTGGCTAAGACAGCCTTTTGGAGGGAGACAAAAGAGGCTTTATGTTCAGGCAAGTAAAACAGGTGCCCCATGGCTATAGATTTGCATGTGTCCACAGTACCTCTCTGACACATTAGTGTGAAGGGTACTCCCCTGTTCAGCTGCTGTAGCCTATAAATAGAACAGAAAGTGGGGGTGGTAGAAATAATAGCTAGGGGATGGAGTTGATGGAAGGATGTTACTAAAAAGTCAATTGACAACGTAGTCTGTTGACAGCAAAGTCTGGAGCAACTTCATTGTTTCTGATAACTGTTGTGTGTTCAAATTTAAAAGAAGTGGCCTGAATCTTCCACACCAATACAAAGCATAATAACCAGCCTAGGCTTGGTGCTCCATAGGGAGGGTACATTCCATGTTAACACTAACATGTCCTGTTTCATACTGCATAGACTTGAACTATGTCAAATGACCCTCCTCTGAAGGGGTTGCCACACCATGCTTCCATTAAGCAAAAGTAAATAAAGCCTTGCTGTCCTAAGGGAGCAAAACTAGCAAGTAACTCAAAAGGGATTGGCCTTATATTTCTAGCTTTCCCTGTTGCTCATCCTCAAACTTAATTTAATGTTTCAGTCTGACCATAAACCCTTATACATGTTACATTGGCCACTTTAAGAATTTCCTGTATTGCTCAGTGGTGTTGGGTTAGTAAATCCAGTAGTGTGGTACTTGAATATGCAGTTTCAAAAAGGCAGGCGAACCCCCTGATGCCATACAAAGGTCTTAACAAGTAAACAATGAGGGTGTTAGATCACTGGAAGAGCCTTGTAGCCTAGAAAAGATCTGGACAAAGACTTTAGTTTGAATGATGGCACAAGTGATGCAGTCACTAGTTTGTAAAACTATTATTGTCTGTACAATCCCTGTTTTTAAATGCAATACATTAGTGGCTCACTGAGTCAGACCTAGTGAATTTTTAGCTTTTCAAGACAGAACTCTTCATTCAGTGGGAAAGTGAGAAGAGTAACTTGCAAATCCAGGGACAAGAACACAAGTGTTTGCTACTAGAGGAATGTTTACACTGCTTAAGACACTAACAACTTGCTTGTCTGATACAGTTAATGCAAGCAGTTTATATAACTTCTGTATTCATACTGGCTTCTTGGGGGCAGAATGGAAAAATAGTTTTTCAGAATTTTTCCAAATAATTACATCTACAGTCTGCATGACTTCTAGAGCTGTAGTTCAGCATTAGTGCTACTAGTTTCTGAAGTTCTTAACAGACTGGGAATTGTTCTATCTATACAGTCCCTAGACCAGGGGTCAGCAACCTTTCAGAAGTGGTGTGCCGAATCTTCATTTATTCACTCTAATTTAAGGTTTCACGTGCCAGTAATACATTTTAATGTTTTTAGAAGGTCTCTTTCTAAGTCTATAATATACAACTAAACTATTGTTGTATGTAAAGTAAATAAGGTTTTTAAAATGTTTAAGAAGCTTAATTTAAAATTAAATTAAAATGCAGAGCCCCCGGATCGGTGGCCAGGACCCGGGCTGCGTGAGTGCCACTGAAAATCAGCTCGCGTGCCGCCTTCAGCACACGTGCCATAGGTTGCCTACCCCTGCCCTAGACGCACCAAGCAATATGAACTACTACAAATCACTACTGCTCAGTGAATTTAAGTAGGAAACGTATCCCCTTCGATGCATGACTCTGTAGAAACTCTTCTGAAGTCTAAAACTTGGCTAGGTTGGAAACATTTATAAATACTGTAATCTAGATGACCCAAGATTAATTTAATTTTGTTGCCATTCTAGTCAAAGGTTCTCAGATTGGTCTACAGAACTTGTTGGCCACAATGCTGCTGGCTATGTAGGTTCCAGGTACTAAACTGCCTTAAAGTACATCAGACTCTTACAATTGCTTACAATTTGCCATATAGGCAACTGCTGCTATAGTTGAAAAAAAATTAACATGTATGCCTTAAAGAGGACCCTTTAACATCTCACTTGTAATATCAAAGATGTGGTCCATCCTCTGAGATTAAGAATACCAGTTTCTTCATCTACAGCAACTTGGTTACACTAGTCAAGATTGACTCCACATAAAATTTTAATGAAAAAATATAAATAAAGTTGCAATATTAGAAGCTAAATATGAACTTTATCTCATTTCAGCTGCAAGGGCTGGGTTTTATTGCAATAAGAATCTTAACTTGCTTCATAACTAATGTGGCCAATTTACTATAATTTTCCACTAAAATTGTAATGAGTGGTGGTGGTTGGAGCAAAGAAGTGGGGGGAAGACTCCCCAGTTGCCATTTTGAGGCTAAGACGTAGCTGCAGACCTCAGGTTCTAATCCAACCATTCTTGCATAAGAACTATCATAGCAATATGCACTACACACTCAGGCAACTCTTTGGATGGCTCCATAAATCTGCAGTTTGCATTGTGGACCGCAGAAAGTAAATGATACCTGCCACTGGGTTGCTCCACGTGGCACTCCAAAAGCGTGGCCTCTTCTGTGCAGAACTAACTCCTGCAAGACTGTAGCCCTTTGACATGTTAGTCTACCTCAGCTTGTCACATCTTAGAGGTTTGTTGTGTCAAAGCTGTTGCCCTGGCAAACTTCTTAAGTGATCACTATTTCTTTTATTCTATATTTATGTAAAATGTGTAGCCACCTGAGGTGCTCAGAAGTCTCTGGTTACTAAAAAGACACGAAGAACAGCTCTGTGAATGCTTGTCTCTCACCAACATAAGTTGGTTCAATAAAAGATATTACTTCACCCACTTTGTTGCTCTAAAAATACCTGCAGTCACATTTCTGTATCATTCAAAATATGAACATTGATAAAATCTAGCTAAATCTCCTCAAAGCAAAACAAAAATTCTGAAACTTGTTTCAGTAAACACAGTTCTCAGCACAGCTACCCATCTTCCTTGGAAGCAACCAGGGTGGACTTGAAATTGGTGGTTTAAACTGATTTAAATCATTTAAATTAGCAAACAGAAAATATTGATTTACATCAATGATTTAAATCATGTTTTGCATTGTTTTTTTCTTTAGTAAAATAAAAATTGATTCTCACTGATTAGTTACAAACAAACATTTTAATGGCTACCAAATAGAGCCTTACACTAACCTTGTTGTTTCTCTTTGCTAACCAGAAAGAGGCCACACCATACATTTACATATTTAAGTAATTCTATATCTTAAAGTACACTTGTTCAGATTAATTCCAACATTTTATATTATGTTGGAAAATGGTGAATGATTTACCAAATTACTAACCTTTTACTTTTGATTTGTCAAGTTCTTGAATAGGAACTCAAATTCAGTTACAATGCACAAAAACAGCGCTTTATTTTTTATTAAATAAAACTACATTAAATGTGCTGCACACACTTTTTTTCTTATCAAAACTTATCAAATGTTTAGTAAAATAAATCAGCTAGATTTAAATACAAAGTAAGTATTATCTGTAGTTATTGAATTGAACAGATTGTTTATGGTCAGTGTCCTTCAAGACTTTAGAACTAGTAGATATATTCTTCTCACCTATTCTTATTAATAGACTGGAAGAGGAAAACAAGATTTCCTGCTTTTTCCATTATCAGCTGGTTTCTTAACTCTGAACTGAAATGAAACTAGGAAACTATTCTCTCCTCACCTTCAGAAGAGATACCACTGTCAAAAGCTGGTTTGGCATGTCATACCCTGGTTACATGTGCTTGTTTTTAGGCAGTGATTTTCACCAGTTTAATGCATTTTTTTTTCTTTAAAACTTGGCAGCAAATATATACTAATTAAGATTTTTTTTATTTAATTTTAATTATTTTAGGCCTTTATAGGTTGTCATTATTTCAAATTTAATTTTAAATAGGTTTATTTCTAAAACTTTAATGTTGATTTAAAATCTGACTTCGACAAAAGTTGTTTCCAAGGTGGACGAATAAATCTGTGAGCATGCTTCTTTGCAAAGCATCTTAATCTTCAAAGGATAGGTCAACTGCACAAACGTGACTAAATTGCAAAAATTGTTTGGTCAATAGTGATTCTATGGTAGGATTGGTAGAGATAGCTTGGCAACTAAAATATGCATTAGCTAAACGTCACTTTAAACTAAGTTCTTGTTGCTGAGTCACCTGACTTGATCAGGGGTAAATGGGAGGGGTATGTTAGTGTATCTAAGATTGTTGGGGCACCAGAGGAATGGATGGATGGTTTTACTGTAGTTTTAAAATAATCCAGATATTGTTTGTGGTAGAGAACAATGTGAAATATAACTCTGTAAGTAACTCCTACAAGCTTAAATGTTGCCACCATTCAAGTTGTAATTCACTCCTTTTCATATTACTAGATAGAAGATAAGACACTTCCCATTAAAAGTTTGCATTCTCATTGTAGTTTTGCAAGTCTTGCTAAACAAATAAACTGCAAGGTCCGATAAAATTTCAGAATACTGTTACTCCATATGTAGATCTCACATGTTACAGCAGAAGTGAAATATCAAATGTACTAACACAACTCCCTGAATATTCAATTTTAAACACCTTATGGAGAGACTGGCTCTAGAACTAAAGTAGTACTATCTGGCAGACAGATACTCACTGCAGGTTGGCCAGTACAAAAACACCTTACATTTGCAACTGATGTTTACTTACCCAGTTGCAGTTCATGGTGTGGATTTTGAGTTCCTTCTAGATGAGGAACTTGCATCCAGGTCCTAGCTGAGTTGAATCTAAAGCGTAAACTAGAATGAAGTTTCTACTTAGCAAAAACTAGAGGATTGGATGTGGCAGTTGGATTTCTCTTCACACAATATGGAATGTGCATCCTTCTACATTTAGACCATGTCTGTCAATGCACTGGCTGATCTAATCAAGGCATGTTGCTTTAGCATACCTCAACTGTGCCAACCTCTTCCATAAATGTTGTATATGCCTACTAATGTACAAGGGATCTTAAACACAGTGAGTGGTTTATTTACTCTTTTTGAGGCTCCTCAACATAACTCTCTGCCTAGCACCTTCTGGCGTGAAATACAGTGGTAGAACTGAATAATTTTAGCAAGCATACTTTGATTTAAAACTAAATGTGAATACTAACACAACTTCTCTTCCTTTTCAAGATCAGTCTTTTGTGACTCTAGCTACGAATGACTCTTATGTTAAAGGAGCACTGGTCTTGGGTTCATCTCTGCAACACCAGAGAACAGTAAAGAAACTAACTGTGCTCATAACGCCTCAGGTCTCTGTTCCCATGAGGTATGTCACTTCATGAGTATTTTCACCTAGTTGTTCATTGAATGCTCCTGTTACAATAATTTTTAACCCCCAAATGAAAGCTCTCTGTTGTGACCTTCTAAAGCTCGTCAGAATATTACAAAACACTAAAGGCAGTAGATGCCAATTAGTATTCCGTGAACTTCTATACACTTGCTGCTTCCAGCAGTAAACTATCCAATCAGAGCATACCGGTTGACAAGTCATACACTGAAGAGACTGACAAATAGCTAAATTTAATCCACTAGCCAACGAGACACAGGATGGTCTTGTGGTTAAGGCACTGGTCTGGGTTTCAGATGAAAGTTCAATGTCTGGCTCAACCACAGACTTTCTGGGCAAGTCGTATAATCTTTCTCTGCCTCCCTTCATCAGTAAAATAGAGATAACGCTTCCTCTCCTACCCCTTGTCTGTGTTGTATTTTAAGGCTATGTCTATGCTACCACTTACGTTGATATAACTTATGTTGCTCAGGGGTGTGAATAAACCATCCCCGAGTGACATAAGATACACCGACATAAACGCCGGCATGAACAGCACTATGTCCACAAGAAAGTTTCTCCCACCAACACAGCTAACGCCACTCATTGGGGATGGATTAATTATGTTGACGGGAGAATGCTCTCCCATTGGCGCTACTGTAAGATCTCTAGTATAGACATAGCCTTAGACTACAGGTCTTCAAGGTAGGGTCTCTTTTGCCGCCAGCACAATGGCACAGTAGTTTAGGGCACTAGCCTGAGACTCAGATCAAGGCTGAGTACCCTGCTCTTCTACGAGGCTTCCTGTGACCTTGTTCAAGTCTTAATCTCTCTGCCTTTGTTCCCCATCTGTAAAATGGGGGAAGACTAGTCCTTCTCTAACTCAGATATTTTGAGGATAAATGCATCAAAAGCCGAGGCACCTGGATAATCTAGTAACGGAGGCCATATAAGTAAATTAGATAGAACTTCAAATTTGAAACAACTCATCCCCCCCTGCGAACTTTAATACTTACCTTTCATATTAAATTCTTCATGAAGGCAGGAAATAAGCAAGTTGGTTATAGCTCATCCTTTGAGCTTCTCAGTCTTATCTGTCACTGAATATATTAATGTAACAAGCCTTTGCTACAACAAAAGCTAAACTTCGGCATGGAACCGAGCTTAGAAGTCTTTGACTAGATGAGAGTTTAACTTCAGGCCATAACGTCCCTTTGAACTTGGGAGTGGGAAGTAACTAGCTGGACTAGTTACATGACCCTTGTTATCTAATCCACAGGAAGCTGTCTTGGCCAAATACTGCTTGCTATAATGACAGGTGATTCCAGGTTTATCTCTACTATCTAACACAAAATGGGCTACTTAATCAGTCTCAAGGCTCTCACCTCTGCCTCACTTATACAACAGCATTCTATTTAGGTGAATCATCTTCCTGTCTACCAGGCTAACAGTTTCCTCCTGAAGAGGTGGGCATGAAAATACAAACTCCAACATTACAATTAAAACAAATCTATTTGGACAGCCAGTGGAATGTGGCATGAATAGAACTTGCAGATTTTATTATTGATCTGCAATATTCATGTATATTTTAGAAGTAATTTTTTTTAACTTCCCCTGGGACTAGAATAATATTGAATATCACTTAAAGTACAACCGTTGACAATCTAGAGGGCAAAGTTGTAGTTCAAGACAATTCAACTTATACAAATTTACAATTTAACTCCCTGATAGCAACTCAAAATACTCAAGACACTTATGGGTTGGCTAGCCCAACCTGCACTACTGGTATTAAACGTAAAATGTCAAGAAAGCTGAAACCATAAGCATTAGTCCCTCAAAGTAGTCTGTAGAAATTAAGATACTTCTACAGATACTGATGTTTAATTTTAGTGGGTAGATTAAACGATGATAAAAACTGGACTTGCATAACTGCCAAGAGCTTTAAGAACTCATAATATATCTTATTTCAGTTTAGCTCTTCAGAATTAATATGATGCTTTTAACTTACAGTGGACACAACATTGGTCCAAGAGACCATTTCCAAGTAAAAGGAAGTAAACTAAACTACCTAGATGTCTACTGCACTCACTGCCACATGAAGAGCCATGGCTAAGTAAACACTCTCTTGATGTGCTAGATAAACTAGCAGCAGTTGGGTCTGTTCCTTGTGGCTTTAAAGGTCAACAAGAACTGTTCAGGATTCAGCTGCTGTCCAAAGTCCTGCACAGACCAGTCTAATAGCTTCTTGCTTCTTAGCTATAAGCTTAAAATAGTCTGTCACCTCACCAAGAGGCAGTGTTCTCAGGTCTGGCTGAGCCTCCCACACAGTTTGTCTCAAACTACAAGACCTGATCTGCCTGACTTGTGTATATACACAGGGCTTCAGTTCTCATTGCTACTACTCCAGCACCAGTCAGGAGCACTAACTGGTAACTAAGGTATTTCTATGCTAGAAACTTGACAAGACTCTTGTGCACCTGTCTAAATAAAAGACAGTCTAGACTTCAAATCCTTATTGTGCACTAAGAGTCTAGGCAATACAAAACTATCTTGGGGTTGGGGATATTGGAAAGACCTAACTTGCAAAAATAAATCAACAATTACTACTTTCCACAGGAAAGTGCTAGAAAAAGTCTTCGATGAAATCTTATTGGTAGATGTCTTGGACAGTGGAGATTCAGCCCATCTAGCACTAATGAAAAGACCTGAGCTGGGTGTCACACTAACAAAACTCCACTGCTGGGAACTGACTCAGTATTCAAAATGTGTGTTCATGGATGCAGACACAATGGTAAGTTATATATTTGCTATTCAGAATACAGTTCCTTCTAGTGGCTTGCAATAGAAACCTCTTCTTACTGGGGACCTGTAACTTGGTATGCAGGGAAGTGCTCTTAAGCCTACAAAACAACTTGTAATTGGTAGTAATAAGGGAATATATCCATGTCAAAGCTGTTCTGCATAAAATGAGACCTTTGATATGAACCCTTACCTTCATATCTTGGGGTGGATAGCAAAAATCAACAAAACATAATGCTATGAAGCGTTAGCCTAGAAAACAGAAAGCAATTTTTTCCCTCCCTACAACTAGGTTTTATCAAATATTGATGAGCTTTTTGAGAAAGAAGAGCTATCTGCAGCACCAGATCCAGGCTGGCCTGACTGTTTTAATTCTGGAGTTTTTGTTTATCGACCTTCCATTGAAACATACAATCATCTGTTACAACTTGCCACAGAGAAAGGCAGCTTTGATGGTATGTATTGACTCCAACTCCAATATTCGAGGTTTGGATTGTTTAAAATGCTGAGGGGGGGAGGAATGTCTCAGATGGGCATGCCTTAGGGGACACCACTTACATTAGAATTCTAAAATTCCAGCACCTCATTGGAAAGAGTACTCATGTTTACAGGAAACTCATATGCATGGACTCCTATAAATTGAGTCTGACTTCATTATAGTCAGAAATCTAACATCAAACATTAATAAGCTTATCTTGTATTAAAGGCCTAGATGGACTTCAGAAGGACCTTAATGAGTCTTAAGTGGGAAAGGTAGGCCAACCTAAACAGCCATTTCTAAAACTTTCTCTGTAGCTCTCAACTAGAAGAATGAAGATTCTTTAGATTATAAACCAGTATCCTGCATTTTAGATACAAACTAGTCACTAATGGATTTGATTGTGTTGGTCACTTACTGATTAAATCAGTGAAAATAAGCTCCCATCAACTCAACTTTTCACAAAAATCATTTGTGGATATCCTTAGAGATAAAGTGAACATGATGTTTCCAAAGTTGGACTGCTCTAAGTGGCTTTTTGAAATGATTTGTTCTAAAACGTATTCTTCTACTCTCATCAGCTAGTCAAATAGCTGAGTAAAATTAGAGATGTTTTTATTAATAGCAGCATTTCCTCAAAAAGAAAAGGTGGTGGGGGGGAAGAGATTTGTCTCTATGGAGACAACAGTGGTATTACTCAGAGGCAATGCATGTGGGGGAAGCATGTAGGGTCATGTGCTTCCTCCCCCCCCCCTTTGCTGGTTGGTTTGTACTGAGCATGCTTGGTAACTGCTGAGGTCAGCTGCCCTCATTCTGGCAAGCATGGGTCATCTCTGGTGTTACTAACTAGTTTTAACAACCTTGTTC